TATGCCTTCTTGGCGGAATAGAAGATAATGATGGGTTCACTACCAAATGAGTCAAAGACTTATCAGACTGAGCCATCTAGAGTTTCATGCCAGAACTAGGTGGTCTTTATTTCTTAATGAGTCACAGTGTTGAACAAATCAATTGAGTAAGTAATTCAATGACTCACAGTTACTTGTCACCATGCACCTGTCACAAGGTGACAAATTCAGCGGAACCAATTTCCGCTGGGAGTTCAGTGACACACCTTGCCAGTTCGCTTATTGTCAGTTGCCATGACAGCGGCAGCTGATTAGCTAAGCGGTACCAGGTGCGGATGTTTAGTGTAGGGATTTGTGATTTAGGAGACATGGCCTAAAGAAGCAGTTAAAAGGAAAAGGAAGAGGCATTCGAGGGTGTTACTCCCCCGGGAAAAATCTATTCCTTTGGCAGTGGCTTGAATTTGCTGGGATCTTTGGAGCGGGCTGTGAGGATCTGGCTTGAAAAGGGTGCAACGTTGATTTGTGAGAATACAAGCTGGAAACGTGAACTGGATGTGAAGCGAGTGAATTGTGGAGATTGAGTCAAGACTGGAAAACGCCATCATTCTAGAGAGGAAGATAAATAATGAAACACCGGATCTGTGTGAATGCATGTCTTGCACTGAATTGAATAAGGAATTGTGAAGTGTATTGACCACAAATATAATTTTCACTCAAGAGTGTGAATTGAGTCATCATTGAAATCCTGATATCTTCTTCTGAGTGTGAAAGAGTATTGAAGACGCTGTTTCCCATGCTGTGAGAAGTCATCTGCATCTCTTCATCTCCTGAGTGTTGATTCAGCGCAACAGTGGAAGGATTGATCATTGGGTGAGTGCTGGCTTTATTGCACTGAGATTGAGAGTGGATATGCAGTGCCTGAATTGAAGTGTCACGCAGTATTGGACTTGACGTGAAGTTGCAGTGTGTGGATGTATGTTTATTTAACCGCCAGTATTCCCCATTTCACATTCTCGTCCAGTGTTTGCTGAATGAAGCCCTCAGTGTTGAATGTGTATGTCCCACTCCAGCCACAAGCTCATGTTGATACTGAAGAGGAGTGTGCTTTCCCTGTTTAACTTGTCCGGTCTATTTAAATAGAAGGTTCCTCTGCCACCGCCTTCTTGTGTGCTGCCTGCTTGGAGGAGAGACACACCCCAGCTTCAGTGCTGCCTGCTTGGAGCAATCCAGCCCAGCCGTAAGCCTGATTCTCCATTATACGAAAGGAACATGTTTGCACCTGTATCAAATGCTCTGTCTGTTAAAAATAGAAGATTCTTCTACCAATGCCTTCTTGTGTGCTGCCTGTTCAGAGGAGAGACACACCCCGGCCTCAGTGCTGCCTGCTTGGAGCAACCCGCTCCAGCCTTAAGTCCTTGCTTCACCGTAAATAGAAGTGAACCTGTAAAATTGTCTTGGATTAGATGATACCTTTTGCTTCAGTCTGGAGCCGCCAAGGGAGAAAAGACACATGGAGGAACTTGCACCTGTTCAGCGACGCTACGGGAGAGCACTCTACATGGAGGAGACATGCGTACCCAGCTACCTACCTGGCTGGCAGCGAGTCCCCCTCCTGGTCCTCATCGCCCCCGTGCCGACCACCCACTGAATAGTTGATGCCCGGGAACGTACCGGCCTGTCTGCCAACTGGTTCTCCAGTGAGGCCCCGCCGCCATCCGAGACCCCGCTCACCTGTCCTGTGGAGAGGAAAACTTACCTGCCACCCACCTGTCCGGTGAAAGAGTCCCCTCCTGGTCCGTGGTCCCGGTCCGCCCGGATAGCTGCCTGCCTGTATTACGCCTGAAAGGGTCTACTCACCACGATACTTACCTGCTCGCCGGACCGGCGTTCGACCCACAAAAAAGGGATGTCCCAGTGCTGGTCAAATTTGAGGCCTGGAACTACGTGAGAAACTTGTATGTCGTCTAGTAGCTGTGTCGAATGAAATCTGAATAATTCCCTTTTGAATCTCACATGGAGAGAGTATTAGCTGTCCATGAGCTAGCAGCAGGATCAACTTTATGACTCTCTATGGGCTTCTCCCTCAACTTTATCAGACTTTATCAGACCCCCCGATGGCCTGCGAGCTTCTCCTCCTGTCTATATGGTAATCTCTCTACTGTGTGACAGAGTCGGTTCGTTATGATACAATCATTAGCCTATTTTTACAAAAACTGCTTCTACAGGGCCATAACGTAAGATACGAGGTAATGAAGTATTTTTAAACGCAGTCGTGTTTCTTTGGAAATAAATAATGGACTAATGAAGTCTTTGGACACCTCAAATGTAAAGTTATTCGCTGTCAAAGTGATGCCAAAATAAATGGGAGTCATTGGAATGCTAACAGCATATAGATACAGTATACACTAGTTGTCATCTTGGGGTTCTAAGCATTCGTCAAAACCGCCGCCATCTTGGAACAGGGGTGTTGTCATAGCTAGGTAAAGCTGCCATCTCTGCCTTTACTTCTAATTAATTGATGGTGGCAGACTTTTGTGCTGTGTATGATGTTCACACGAATTAAATCTGAACTAAGAAGAATGTTTGTTTGTTTTTGTTTTTTCTTGAATCAATGATAAAAACATGTCTGACCGTTGGAACGAACAAAAAAAAACGAGAAAATCTCATTCATGATATTTATGGTGATTTTTATTTCCGTTAGACCTTTACATTCGCGCTGATGCATTAAAGGTGCGTTCCATTCGACCGTAAGTGGACTGCGAAGTGGATTTCACAGGGTATTTCGCTATCTTAAGTGAGATTCCAATTCGAAGGGCACTGCAAACGGCATAGGGAATAAGGGAACATCGATACATCATTTAACAGGAAGTCAGTGAAGTCCACTTCAACTGATATACCGTGTTCAGGGAGTAGGGAGCAGTGAACACTGCGTAGGGACCCTGTCGAATGGAACGCACCTTAAGTGGAGGGGCTCCCCTGTTCCAAGATGGCGGCTCTATTGACACATTCGTTCTAATCAACTGCTGTAGCCAAGGCAACATCTAGTGTATATATCTATGTGCTAACAGCAGGTGAAGTTCTGCTACAAGGGCGAGGCTTCAACTTCCAGGTGATGGATTACCCCCTTGAGGTAAACGTCAGCGAGTGGATCTCTGAGCTGGTCTGAGTTAGTGGAGGCGGGGCTAATTTGCAAATTCCTAGAACCGCGTATACTAAATGAGGCAAGGGTGTAGAGTTATATTCAAGCTATTTTAAAATATGACGAAATGTTTTTCAAGGAAAATTGTCAATCCAATCATTTTGGTGATCAAAGATGAGTTTTAAGGGATAAAATGATTGACTACAGGGGACTTTAAAGTGCTGGCTGATCTTGGCTATACTTTTTATTTGACCCACTTGACCTTAGTTAGCTTAGACACTAGTGAACATCGACATCGATGCATTGATGTAAATGCATTTGAATGAATGCCTCAGCCCAGGAGATGCCAGATGGGCTGATGTCAGACTAGTCAAAGGTCACACAATGACAACACAGTGAGCATCACATGGGTGTTCAGAGTGTTATTGTCACCGTGTCAAATTCATACATCCACCATCTGCCATTGTGACAAGAAGGGATAAAAAGTGACGGATTCAGAACAGGATTTGGAGCAGGAAAGTCAATCATGTCAGGTATCTCTGACTCTGACACATAGAAACAAATGCCAGTCAAGCTATCAGTCTGACTGACTTGAGGAAAAGATTTCGAAATGAAAAAGTCTTGAGTAAAAGGACGGTAATTGATTATCTTAGCATCAAAGATTAGGTGACACCGAAATAACTTTGGAAGAAAGATGGAAGTAGAGACAGCTTTGCATCTTAATATATTATACTTATTTCTGACTCATTGTATGTTTGATTTGAGAAAAAAAGGTGTTCTTTGCAGAAATGTTCCACCATTTCAAGCAATTAAATTGTTTATTCAGCCAGGATGGCATTGGCCTGAGAGTGTGATGTTGGCTACAGATGTGTCGTCGATCTCTCTGCAGTTTTGAGGCCAGGTTGCCCAGTACATGAAATGAGAAACATAAATGTCTGGAATATGTAAGGGCTTACACACTGTCTGAGATGTCTAACATTTTATATAGATTACATTTTTAAGAACAATTTAGGTATTATTTAGGACCATTAAGGTTATTATTTATCATTTTCATTCAAGTATACTGTATGGCAGTAGGCCACTGACTTTATGTTGATTTAAATAAACTAAAAAAAAGAATCCATGGCAGTAATTGCACACTGCCTTTTTGCTTATTTAAATACAATTACATTCAATTAAAACATTTGGATTAGAGTAATGGGTTACACTTTATTTTTAGTTAAATTGTGCTTACTCAAATAAGCAGGATACTAAGTAATATTAATGAACTACACATAGGCTAAGCCTGCTATAGAGTTTAATTAAGGTTTAATTTTGGGTTAGTAACTTGTATGCTTAAATTTACTGCTACAGGTTACTTGTTCATACTTCACCTTACAATAAAGTGTTGCCCAATAATGTGAATTTAATAAATATATTTAGCTTTAGAGTTGTTTTCATGAGATTTACCTGAGAATCAATAGACAGAAAATGTTTTTTTTTTATCCCAGAGTTATGAAATAATACAGCAGATAAAAACGTTGCACAATGCACATATGTTCCAAATGATTCGAAAGCATCATATGATGTGAGGAACATTAGAGGTAACATCCCAGAAAAAGAAATGTGTGTAGAAAATATAGCTGAGCTCTAACGTACATAAACAAGAGTTCTCTACTGCCACCTCCCGACGCGTTGAAGTAGGCTACTCTCATGTGTTCTCACAAACAAAAGACAGGCAAATGTGGTATAAAATTAAAGTTTAATCCAACTACGACAGCAAAAGGTTATCCACAAGTCTCTAAAGAAAGCTTTGTTAAAGATCTTCGCGGTTTAATCACGTTCAATTTCCCTACTGCACCACAGCGTTCCACCAGTAGAACACATTTCCCATGGTGCCACAGGGTAAACCAGGAAGTGCTGCATCACGTGGTTGAACTGTCACAGGTGACGTACAGTCGAGAGCAGCACAGCAGCAGCATGGCGAATAAAGATCCCGGAGTAAGTCGCATCATATTTAAAAATATAAAAGAAAGCATTGAAAATGTATATAAACATTTTGATAGCAGGTAAAAACTGCGTTTTAAATATCTGTCTTCTAGTAGTTTGCATTTAATTGTCTAGGTTTATTTATGTCTAAATAAAAGCAATGCTAGGAGTGTGTTAGCTTTGAAGGGTTCAGTTATGCCACAATGACGCACGTTGTATAACTTTATGTGTGTGACCTTCATTGAAATATAATTATTATGATGTAGCTCACTCTAAAATCACAATTTGTCTCAGGTATATTGTGAGTTTATAACAATAATTTAAAGTTGGTCCTCATTCGTCCTAGACAAGGTCAAGGCTACTGGTATCTTGCATAAAACCACTACATTTTTTTAGTGGTCCTTATGAGATTGGATAACGTTACATTTTCTTTGTAATCTATTATGAAAGTCATTCTAAACTTGAGTTTGAATCAAACTGGCTTGAGACTTTCAAGTCTCTTTAAATTATGATGCCCATGCATTAGTTGGAGGAGGTTCAAGCAGGTTGAATATGATATATCATGCTGCCTTGAACAGATATAAGACAACATCATTCACATAATATAAATAACCATTTGAATGTGTATTTGAAAAGTCTGACTTTATGTGACTGTTTGTCTCAGAACTTTTTGCAGCAGCTGAGGCAGATTGCTGGTAGGATGGGGTCCGGCCCCCGAGGGCTTGGGCTGGGCGTGAAGCTGCTCATCGGAGCCGGTGCCCTTGCCTACGGGGTCAAAGAAGCCACATACACAGGTAACACACACACTGAAAAATACAGAAGGGTTACATGGCTAGGATGGGCAAATTAAATAATGAATGAAACTTCTCTCAAAAATAATCATTCTTATTTCATTATGTTCTCTCTCACATTTTCTAAATTCGTGCATGCTTTATTGGGAGTTTAATAACTAATTGTGTTTTGCTTTGTGTGTGTGTGTGTTGTGTGTAGTTGAGGGTGGCCAGAGAGCCATTATCTTCAACAGAATTGGAGGGATGCAGATGGACACTGTGCTTGCAGAAGGATTGCACGTCAGGTACATTACACACAACGACCAACATTCAAGCCATAAGCTTTCATTATAATAATAAGTGACCTCACTCAGACCAGCTGAACCACCTAGTGACCCCCAAAGTCTAGTTAGTTTGATATGCTGAACCATGCCTGGTCCACTTACGTATATGGGCTCAGGTACAAATCTATAGGCATGTAGTTTGATCTCTAACTGTGCCGGAGAAAGGAACTTGTGTCTAGGGTTATCACAGTACCAACATTTCAGTAGTTGGTAAAATAGTGCAGTTCTCTGTTCCAATTACGGAATCAGAGCAAAAACTATGTAATTGAGAGTACTTCAAAAAAAAATGTAATTGTAATACACAGTATTTCATAAAATACAGGTTTGGTTTACACGAACTTCCCCTCCAAAGTGGTACGCTTTATGGTGTCTGTTGAAACTCAATGGGCACAGGTAAGGTACGAGAGACGCGGCATGATTTTTAAAACAGGTGATTTATACTCTTTTTATTATTGTAATATAGATTATTTTCTCACCCAATTCTTTTAACGAGGCACTGCCTCCTTTTTTTGGAAACCGTGATACTTTTTAAATGTTTTTTTTTTTAAGTTCAAAAGAACAGCATTTATTTTAAATATTATAAATTACATTATAAACATCTTTGCTGTCACTTTTGATCAATTTAATGCACCCTGAATCAAAAAAATTCTTTTAATTTAATGTTAACTGTTATCTTCCCATCATCTTTCAAATCTCAAATGTGGTTCAATATTTAAAGCTTGCTGACACATAATTATCGTATGTCACTTTATACATGCTTTTTTGGAGCTTAGCAGAATAAATCTTTTAAAAAATAAATATCTATTTTAGTTTTGGGAAAAAGGATTTGGGCGCTCTGCCGAACATTTTACTTGATACTTGATACTTACATGATACTGGTCTGAACAACATTAGAAAAAACATGATACTGGTCAGAACAACACACTGGTCCTAGAAGACACATTTCTGAATTTGTTGGGATTCAGAGGGGTGTAATCATTCATGATGTGTACTGTATCTTAACTTGAGAGGCCAGAACCCCTTTTACATTTATTAGAAAAAATAATGAACCATTTAAAATTGACATAATAGTAATACACAGGATGATAACAAAAAGCTTACACAGCAACTCTGTTTATTAATATAAAAAAAGTAATTTATCTTTCATCCAAAGCCCCTGTTTAATGTACAACTATTTAATGGACATATTTTACTCTCCTGAGGTTCTCAGAACCAATATAATTGACATAAAAAGTGGTGAATGGGAGTATGTAGTGATGAACTACAGCAAATGCGATTGCATTCCAATTTTTCTCCAATTTCTTTTTAGATATTTAATTGCCAATAACACATCATAGTGTTATAAATATAAAATGTAAATATTTATACGATTTTTGGTAAATTTGCAATGCTAATAACCAAATGGTTCATTACAGTCTGTAAATATCTCTTAACAACACAATGCAATCACTATTAAGACTTCCTGTTAATGAAGTATCTGGTAAAAATCTGTTCTATAATAGCAATGCATTAAATCACATTATACATTAATAAACCACAACAAATAAAACAAATTAAGTGATGTCTCATGTCTCAAGTCAAGTGAATTACGGGTCATTGGACAGGCGTCCAATCACAACTGACTTCCGGAAAGGGGGAAGTAGCCAATGACATTTGAGGTTATGAAAACAGTACGTCCCGCCCCTCGACTGCCAAAAGCAGGCGAGAGCAGATCGAGCGCGTGGGGAATGACCATGCGTGCGCATGAGGGCTTGTATTTCATGCAGAGATGTCATGTGCGCGTGCACGGTTTGAATGAGCTTGCGAGTTCCCGTTTCCTCGCGTGTACATCTGTTGTCCTCTCGCGAAAGTCATTAACCGTGGGTGCCAGCATCAGTTGTGCTCTCGTTTATTTTAGTCATTGATTTGCCACCATGAACTTGAGGGAAAGCAAATGATGCCAAAAGTTCAATTTTACAGTAAACTATTAATTTAAGAAGTTTGTCTTGCATCTAGGATACCATGGTTCCAGTACCCCATCATCTATGATATTCGAGCCAGGCCAAGGAAGATTTCATCTCTCACTGGAAGCAAAGGTGACTTTGAACCAGATGTTTTATTGTCATAAATGCAATAAATGTGCGTGATAAAGCCTTAAAATGCATTGCCTGCTGTTAGGGCAACATACCCTGTCTCTCACCACTGCCTTTGTCAATGACCAGCGCATTAAGAGTGTGACCTTCATCATGTGACTGTCCATCACAGATCTCCAGATGGTGAACATAGGTCTTCGTGTCCTTTCTCGGCCTGTTGCCTCAAGCTTGCCAGTCTTGTACCAGCAGTTGGGGAAAGACTATGACGAGCGTGTGCTTCCTTCCATCGTCAACGAGGTGCTCAAGAGCGTGGTGGCCAAGTTCAACGCGTCCCAGCTGATCACGCAGAGAGCCCAGGTACAGTATGAGGACTGAAGTCTGAGACACACTGAGCCAACAGCCGGCCTTCAGGTGAACCAGTGCTTGAAAAGAAAAATGCAAGTGACAAAAGCAAGCAAATGACGAAGTCAAGTTGTTTTGTTAGATCTAGCTTTGGTTAGAAAGCATTTTGTTAATATAGCATTTATTTAATTGAATTAGAAAGAGAGAGAGAGAGTTTGTGCATGTGTAGATTGTTTGCTCAGTGTGTCTTGAGTTTAAATACTTACAGTACAAATACATACTAAACACATACTAAACATACTAAATAAATACAAATACATACTAAACAGCTATGCCTGATTTTTTTTTTTTTTTTTTTTTTTTTTTTTTACCACTCCAGAGTTCGCAGGTTTGCATTAATGACTATTACTGTATTGAAGTTATATACGGTATAACCTGAAAACAAAATATTCTGTCATGTTTCAAACCTGAATGATTTTTTTTTTTACTCAAACACTGAAGGAGATGTTTTGCAGAAATGAGAAGCTATTCCATTTGATTATGGACAAGCATTAATATTTGAGAAAATAGTGTTTTTTGGAAGTCCTATACAGGTTTTTTTTGGGGGGGGGGGGTTTGGTGGAAATTTTTTTAGCTTGGCAACCTCGGTCTCTATTCGCTTTCATGCAAAAAAAGAGCCTTGAGAACATTTTGTTTTTCTCCTTTTGTTTTCAATGGAAGTCATATACAGGTTTGGAAAGACATGATCATATAGAAGAGATAACCTGATACCCGAGACCTCATTCTCAAATGGATAGTATCAATATCATCAAGTATTTATCTTAATGCGGATTCGATTTGATCTTGTTATAAGATTCAGTCCCAACCCCTAAATTCACCTTCCCCTGACCTTTGACTTTAACTCCGCCAGCAGCTTCTCAAGTCTAAGCCTGGTGTGAGACAGAAATGATTAACTCTCTGAACTCTGAGAAGCTCAGGCTTTGTCTAGTTAGAGCTTTTTAAGGCTGTTATTTCACACACTCTCGCCTGATGCTGCGGGACGACAGCTCAGACACACGATTACATAATTCATGTTAACTTGTGACCAAATTTTATTACAGTTTTATTAGATGTCTTTTATACAGTCAGTGGGGTTTAGTTGTGAAAATCTGGGATTCCAATGAAGCACAAGATGCTCTTTTGAACATTAAATCATGTTAAGTTTTACACAAACTTCTGGAGTTCATGCCAGCTCAAATGCTGCTGTCAATAAAGCAAAAGGAGATAGCAAATACTAAGGCATTCACACTTTGTATTAAATAAATAGAGCAACTTAAAGAAGAAATCCGGCACAAAATGAACCTTTGGTCTAATTACACATTGGTACCTAGTCGACCATTCTCTGAGATTTGTTTTCATGTGAAGTGTACTGTCTTTATAAAGTATCTTATTAAACGGTCTGTACACTCTCAATGCTTTGTTTTGCGTGTATGGAGCCTCATTATGTTACTGTGTTAGTGTGGGGCTATTTTGAGCCTTGTTAGTGGTATTAACTAGCGATTTCTCTTTACTTATTATATGCCCCATATAATAGTGTATACGCTAAACAGTTTTTAGAGATAAAACTCTTTATATTCGATTATCATGAAAACTAATCTCAGAGAACGGTCGACTAGGTACCAATGTGTAATTAGACCAAAGGTTCATTTTGCGTTGGAGTTCTCCTTTAAGATAAGCAGTTTCACTTTTGGACTTCATCGTATCTGCATGCCTGTTGGTGGTTTAACTGAGGTGATCAGTTACTGAGAAAATCAGCTTAGCCTTTATTTGTGTGTCATTTTATTTTGGTGGTCAGGTGTCACTACTCATAAGGAGAGATCTAATCGAGAGAGCTAAAGACTTTAACATCATCCTGGATGACGTGGCCATCACAGAGCTCAGCTTCAGCAAAGAGTACACCGCTGCTGTGGAGGCCAAGCAAGTTGGTACGTAGTACCAAAATACATCTTTTCTAATCTGTCACAGAAGTCAGTGAATTTAGCACCCTAAACTAAGCATGCCTAAGCTAAAAAAAATATGATATTGTACCTAGTCACATAATAATACGATTTGTTTACATTTGATGAGACAATTGATACATCATATGAGACGACTCTTTGTCATAAAGTCAGTTTCACACAATACCTTATTAATTGTCTATTATAAACAATATAAAAGTACTCAGGATGTTTTGCCACAATTTATGTTATATATGACATTTCACTTTTTATGATATGGCTGTCCAATTTAATACATGCGATTTTATTTTATTTATTTTTTATTTTTTATTTAAGTTTATAATAATATTTAATGCAAATAAAAGCATGCATTTTTTTCTGTCATCCTCTGACTGCATTATTGTATATGATCATACTATCAACAAGTGCGATTTCATTAATGCTATTAAACCATTCAAACATAAGATGCAAAAAAACAAAATAACTCAGATCTGTACTGGTAGGCTGTCTGTGAATCGACTCTGTGAACAAACACGTGAAACGCGCACACAGACGGAATGCCGCTTCAGACAGCACCATTGAGTTCTCTTTCGTCCTTGAACAGACAAAAACTTAAAATAGTTTAAAAAGTGTTGACTGTATGTAAAGAGTGAGGAAACTGGATGTGTGTCGGGTCTTAACTCTTTCCCCGCCAGCGTTTTAAAAAAAAGTTGCCAGCCACCGCCAGGGTTTTTGACGATTTTCGCTAAATTTGAATGCCCCCGCTGAATATTTTCTTCCATGAATATATGAAGATGATATATATAAAAATAAAGATCTGAGCCTCTGCTTTTAGGCAAAAAAAACGTTTTTATTTTATCTTCATCTGTTCTTTTTTTATTGCCTCTTGAACAGAGGTAGGTTTTGTCAAAAACACAACATTTTGGACAAAAAACTGAGAAAAAGGTGTTTTTATCAAACAAGTGCATTTAAAAGCAGAATACATTCAGATGTTGTTTCCTTCATATAAAACTTTCCAAAATAAATTAAAAACATAAAATAAATGTAAAATATATCAAATTTCCCAGGATGTAAGGGAAATGTAACTTTTGCAATAAAACTTCTGCCTCTGCCTCTCTGTGTTCTACCTATGAATAATTGGAATTACAATAAACAGGCCTAGACACACACACACACACACACACACACACACACAAATACATTTTACAATGTGGTAAATGTGCACAAAGAGAGAAATAATTTGACAATTACACCTTCATATTTAGACAGCCACACATAAATGCCTGCACACACACATACATATTATAGTGTCATAATATTATACGATCTATCTGCGGCACGTCCATGGCTAGCATGAACATGTGCATCTCTCTCACTGACTACTTCGTCCCGATCAGATTCAGAATTATCAAATAAAGAGTGATCGGACTCCGAGTCCATTAACCTCCAGTACTTCAGCCATATACCTCTGCATTGTCTGTCTGATACATTCTCACTACTCCACTGTTTGAGACGATTGCAATCTGTTTCTCTAAACAAAGAGTTGCGCAATCATTCAGGACATGCGCGCAGGTCTTCCTTACCGTATACCACCTAAAACACGGATACCCGGAAAATTCCGTGTTTGGCGCAGATGCGTTTTTTCATTAAACACGGAAAATTCCGTGTTTGGCGGGGAAAGAGTTAAAGTGACAGCTGTCTGTGTCATTACTGATAATCAAAGAAAATCACTCACTGAGTTCATGGGCATCAGTGTGGTTTTAAATGTGCTGGGGATAGAGACGCATTCAGAAATGTATTTTCAAAAGTGCTGGGTATAATGACGCATTCTTTTTTTTTTCTCTTTCGCGCAGGTCATGTTTTGAAAGACGATGTCCTGTAGCTTAGGCCTACTGATGTAAATAAATAATGTATACAAAGATGTGATGATGTTCGACCAAAAATGTGAAGGGTGGGGTGTTAAATAGTACTTTGTACTTAAATAGTAGTTACAATGGTCAAAAACAGGCAGTTAAAAAGATGCCTTTAAACAAATATGGAAAATAGATGTCTTTATGTTGTTATACATTATTTTGTAGATTTAATGTGAAAATATATTTAAAAAACTTTGATGTTAGGTGTGATTAATTACAGAAAAGTTTCAGTTTAGTATTTGAATCGATTGACAGCACTAATTTATACAGTATATATATTGTATATATATATTAGAAGGCGTTGGCTAAATCAATCAGCATATAAACAAATTTTGGTCAAGGTTTTCAGTGTATTTTCAATTCTGTTTCCTACACTGTTTTTTTTTTTTTTTTTTTTTTTTCAAGCTTTAGTCCTTAAACCGTATTCTGGACAAAAAGGGGGCAAAATAGTTTTGATTTATTTTTAAAAAATACTTCCCTTGATCTGAGCGGTCAAGTAAGTAAGTTTGCCTCCTGAACACAATTTTTTTGACTCAATTCTTCAATGTTAAGTGGGTGAAAAAAAAAACTCCTTAATCTTGTATTTGGGTCAAAAATGGGCACCCGATGAAATGATTGGGGAAAACTGTAATTTAGAGCATTCTAAAATGAGCCAAAATAAGACACCAGGTGACAGCAAAGTCACTTCATCTTTAGGTTTTAGCTCTTAGAACTTGTTGGAAGGATATTTTAATGTAGTTAAAAACTAGAAAATATGGTACTTTTTGAAGTAAATAAATTCATAAATATTCAAAAAATGGATAGACAAACTTTATCGAAGACAGTGATATAACATTTATGATAAATAAAAATTAGGATCACACCTGAGTCCTCTGTGCCCACATTTGTCCACAATTACAGGATTAAGGGCTATAAAGTGAATACGGTTTGAGGGCTACATTGCTTTTACTAGTACTGGTTGAAAACACTGAACACAAACGCTGATTGAGTCTGTCTCTTGCTCGGATGCATCTATGATCGCAGAGGTCAGGTGGCGCACTGAGCGTTCGGCACCAGTGTGATCATACGCATCATGGAGTTAATGTTCGCTAGGAAAGCACTAACTGAGATTTTAGATTTTTTTTGTTTTGAATCAATGTTCTGTGTGACATGAAGAAATGGTCTGAATTATGTATAAGGTTGTAATGCAGTATGCACTACCATTCAAAGGTTTGATGTAGGATTTTTGGATTTTTTAGGATTTTATGTTTATGTTAAGAAAGCTTATGCTGACCAATAATGCATTTATTTAATAAAAAAACTCAACTAATATTTAGAAATATTTAAAATACACCAAAATCATGTAAAACAACTTCCGTTTAAATATATATTCCTGTGAAAATCGGTATTGCAGCTGTTGGAAAAAACAAAACATAATTTTGACCGGTTATCACCCAAAGTGGTGCTTCTTTTAAAGAACATGTGTTTGTCTTAATGCTGTCCGCTAGAGGGCACTCTGGCCTAGTTATTTCACCAGTATTCCCTATTGACCAAACAACAATACACCACTTGCATAAACCATTTCTGTAAGAACTGAAATGTTTATTTTATCACTTTAAAATGAACCACGTTGGCTAGCCCGAAAAAGAAAAATATTTGTGTGTGAGCCAATTTTCTATGAATTAAATAAGCTTTCTGTCCCGTTGCCGTGTAGCCCAGCAGGAGGCCCAGAGGGCTCAGTTCTACGTAGAGAAGGCCAAACAGGACCAGCGACAGAAGATCATCCAGGCCGAGGGTGAAGCTGAGGCTGCTAAACTGGTAAACTACTGCAGCTTTCTCAATCCCACATATTGACCATCGTCGAAACAACGTCTCTGTTTTATTAAGGATTATTATAAGGGGTTTCCTTGGTTACCATCAATCGTCCCAGATGCACTATTTGCATCCACAAGGACCTCATTTCATATGATTATTATTCCCTGTTATTATGTTCTAAATCTGTGAGTGGTAATTGACTGTAATTATCAGATATAATTAATGAATCCTGCTTCTGTAATAATTAAGCCACAGTCACTCATCTAGGCTATTTTGAACTGTTGCCCCCTCATTCTCAACAAACCAAAACACTTCTGAAAGCGTTTGTTCTCTTTTGTTTGTGCATTATGGACATTTCTCAGTCATTCTTTCGATTTGTTTATGTTCCAGTGTTTGCAGTCTTCGTGTCTTCAGAAATGACTTTGCTTTTGCGCTCTTTTCTGCTGATATGAAGCAATTCTGTTTCTAAAACGGGCTGCAGGTTAATGGCCGTCTGCTGACGGTAAACAAAGGCTCAACCAAGGGTACAGAGTAATTTGCTTTTGTTTTTATTGTGTGTTTGTCCACTCCAGTTGGGTCAAGCTGTTTTGAAGAACCCTGGATACCTTAAACTTAGACGTATCAGAGCAGCCCAAAGTATCGCCAAAACGGTAAGACACTCTCCAAACAAAATAAATCATTGATTGAATTTCACTGACTCACATTAGCAGATGTTGATACGCTACCATTTAGAAGTTTGTGGCCAGTGTGAAATAAATAAATAATAGGGCTGTCAGTTAAACGCGTTATTAACGGTGTTAACGCAAACCCATTTTAACGGCGTCATTTTTTTTTATCGCGCAATTAGCGGTCTTTTTGGCCTAGCAAACTTTGTAGTTTTTTTTTTTTCACATGCTTTTGCAACAGGACGCGGCATGTGGGACGCTGCACTATGAAACCCATTCATTTCAATGGCTTGCGTCGGGCGAGGATGTTTTGTTGTTTCGGTTTGCAAGCTGGCCAAATAGTTGGTTAACGTTGCATTCTGAGTGGATGACGAGCGTGAGGCGCCGAAATGGATGCCAATAAGATTCTGAATGGAAAGTTTACTTTTAAAAAGTTGCCAAATGGTTCAATTGACAAGACCAAAGTGATCTGTATGTTTTGTCGTTGTGAACTGAGCTATCATCATCGCAGCATGTCCAGTCTGAAATACCGCTTGATGATGGCCAAGCACACACACACACACACACAGCTGATGCAAATTCTCCACCCCCTCGTCAATATCAGGAGCTCGTCAGTATTTCTTTCACTCTTTTATTGATGGACAGTGTTACATTGTGTGTGAGATTATTTGCTCCAAGTGAGAATTCTAGTGTGAAATTAAACAAAAATTAGTTGTTCAATAAAAAAACATTTGCACAATGCAAGCCGATCCACTTGTAAATGTTGATAAGAGCATTAAATTATGAAAAAATAATGGGACAAAAAGAAATCAAGAGACATTTAGAATACCTAAAAATGTGCGATTAATTGCAATTAATCGCGAGTTAACTATGACATTAATGTGATTAATCACGATTAAATTTTTTAATCGTTTGACAGCACTACTAAATAAATCAAAACTAATACTTTTATTTAGCAAGGACGCATTGAATTGATCAAAATTGACAGTAAAGGTTTAGCAAATTGATTACTATTTCAAATAAATTAAAGAATCCTGAAAAAAAAAAGATTAAGCAGCACAAATGTTTTCAACATTAATAATCAGAAATGTTTCTTGAGCATCAAATCAGCATATTTGAATGATTCTGAAGGATCATGTGACACTAAAGACAGGAGTAATATATGGTAAAAAATTTAGTTTTGCATCACAGGGATAAATTACATTTTAGCTGATAAACAGAAACCCATTATTTTAAATGGTAATATTTTGCAATATAACAGTTTTAATATATATATATATATATATATATATATATAAAATAAATAAATTAAGCCTATAGGATGGGACTTTCAGAAACATAAAAAAAAAAAAACTTACGGACCTAAACCTTTGGTCAGTAGCGTACTAACAGCTTAGTACTTTACTGGCAGTTCCACAGTTTACATGAGCCACACATGAAAACTAGGATATTTTTTTGTCTTGAAAATAGATTTTCTAAAATGTCTTTAAAAATAGAGATATTAAAAAATCCCTGCTGTGTTTTAAATACTTTGCATTCATTTGATCTCACTAGTAATGGAAGGTCAAGCTGAAGCATCCTTTGTAGGTGATTGGGTATTTCATGTTTTCTCTACACAGTATACATATTCTGTTAGTATGCCATAATAATACAAAAAGGCGATAGCCTCATGGGCAGCACTCTGTTGCGCTAGCTGAGTTTGATTCCTGGCCCGAGGTCCTTTGCCAATCCCATTCCTCTCTCTCCACCCTGTGCTTTCCTGTCTGACCTCGACACTGTCCTATCTAATAAAGCCATAAAAAGACCAATTAACACCCGCCAAATTCGATAAATGCAGGTGAAAATCCACTGTGGAGGGTATAGCAAATCAATGCATCAGACAATTTTGGCAGGTTATGATTCATAAATTGTTCTATCACTTTGCAATGCTACACCCTTACCCATAGGTACACCCTCTTTGAATTCTATGGTTTTACATATCAGGACATTCAAATTTGGTAAAAACAACCTCAGATGAACATCAACACGTGTCATTATTTATTTAACAAAAACTAGGCCAAAATGGGGAAGCCATGGGTGAAAAACCAAGTAGACCCTTACTTTTTCCTGCTAATCGAACGCCCTTGATTAAATTGATCATTAACAAGCCTGACCAACTCTATAAAAGCAGATGTTTTGGCAGTTTGCACAATGCCAAGGAGGAAAGACATCAGCAATGATCTTTGAGAAGCAACTTGTTGTTGCCATCAATCTGAGAAGGGTTATAAGCCCATTTCTAAACGACCTGAAGTCCATCATTCTACAGTGAGGAAGATTTTTCACAAGTAGAAAACATTTAAGACCGTTGCCAATCTTCCCATGAGTGGACGTCCCAGCTTATTCTCCCCAACGCCAGACTGTGCACTGGTCAGAGAAACTGCAAAATTCCCAAGAGCTACACCTATGTCTCCACAGGCCTCAGTTAACATGTAAAATTTTAGTTCATGATGACAGGAGAAAGCCGCTTCTTTCTTAAAAGAACAGCAGCATGGCTTAGGTTTGCAAAGTTACATCTGAACAAAAGAAAACAAGACTTCTGGAATATGTCGTTTGGACGGATGAGACCACACTGGCGGAGGATTGGTGGATTTTTGGCTTGTTTTGCAGCCGACTATGATCTCCTATTCATACCAAAGTATTCCAGAGTCAAATGTGAGGCCATCTGTGCGACCGCTAAAGCTTGGCCGGAATTGGGTCATGCAACAGGACAATGATCCCAAGCACACAAGCAAATCTACAACGGAATAGATGTAGCAATTGCCCAATCAAAGTCCAGACTTCAAGCCGATTGAAATGCTGTGTCGGGACCTTAAGAGTGGATCTGTGCATAAACAAATGCTCGCAAACCTGAATGAACTGAAGCAACTTTGTAAAGAATAGTGGGCCAAAGTTGAGAATGATTAAGTCATCAGAAAACCATAACTTCAAAGTTATATGCTAAACCAAGCAACTGAATCATATGGTGTGCTTGTTTTGTCGCACATGGCTTTATTTTTGTTAAATAAATAATGACACAGTTTAATATGTCATGTGTTTAGGTTGTTCTTAGCTAATTTTAAGACCAGCTAATTTTATTATTTTGTCCTGATGTGTAAAACCATGGAATTCAAAGAGGGTGTACTTTCACATGACCATGTATGTGTGTGTTTAACATATGTGAATATAAGACCTTGACTCATAATCTTGTATTCTTTTTTTTTTTATCAGGTTGCAACTTCTCAGAACAAGGTGTACCTGAGTGCAGACAGCCTAGTTTTGAACCTCCAGGACGACTACTTTGACAAGTAAGATCCGAGTGCTCCTCACATACTGAGCATACTAAAACAATCAACATGTTGTCTCCTTTGCTCAATTGAGCATGATCTTCAAAACGAACTGAAACTTAGATATAAAAAAGGGAAAATCCCCTCATGAAATGTTGTATTCTGTGATCTGAGAGCAGTGCAGGACAACTTGTCCTAACAGAGTCCAAAGTAGTGGTTGGGGTTTCCTACTATATCATAATCATGTAATGTCCACTGTGGTTTAAAGAGCCCCTAACATGGATTTTTGAAAATGACTGTTCATATGGTGTGGAATATAGCTCTAAGGGAATGAAAACATCCTGCAAAGATTTATATCTGAAAGTGCACCGTATATAAAGTTATTGTCTTTCAAAAGTGAGAGTCGACTCTGAGTCTATGAAATGAATTTCATAGAGAGGTAGAGAGGTCATTGGACGCGCCCAGTTACTGCGCACGCAGACAGAAGTGTAAACTTGAAGTCTACACATTCAAATACTTCATCATAGCATCATGTCGAGAAGATGCTGTGTTTTACAATGCAAAGATAGTTCAGACACTTTGTTTTCATTTACCAGGGACGAGCATGTAAAGAATCGGTGGTTAGAGTTCATATTTGCAACGATACCACAACAGTAGCCCGATTGTGTTCTCATCATTTTAATTACGAATCGTTCAAAAACATAAATTAATTTAAATGTGGATTCGCAAGCGGTTGTTCCTAAAAGGGGGCTCAGTAACTTACTTACCCAGTGTATATGGATCAGCTTCCTCCTTCGAATCACAACCTGTAAGTATTATTAATAATTGTTGCTTTTATGGGTTTTGAACGGTTTTGTTGCGTCGGGGCGCAAGGAGGGAAGGCGCTATAAGTATCTGTGTGCGTATGTGTGTGTGTAAGTTACGCTCAGCGCAGCTTCTAGGTCTCCAATGTCTTTTTTTTAAATATGTGAAATGTTTGTCGCTGTTATTGGAGTTGTCATAAAGAATAGAGCATCTTGTTGTAATACTGCAGTGCTTTATCAATATGTTTATGCGTTATGCTAATAAACAATAACTGACTGGGTCTGTCATCTGACCAATCACCGCCGATTAGCGTCACGCAAAGGAGTGGTTTGGAAAAATGAGTCGTTGTACGAATCATTTGGGAGTCGGTGAGCAAATCAGTTAAAAATAAATGCATATTATAAGACAAATAAAGTGTTTTTTATCCTTCCATGCATGTTAAACTGTTTTTGGGAACTCCTAAAACAAAAATAGGAACGTTTCAAATGCTATGATAGGGGCTCTTTAAATAAAATTAGTTTTACCTTGTCTTGATTTAAATAAAAAAAATATTCCCAGTGTGCACAAATTAGCCTCGAGTGCATGTTGGTTACAGTGTTTATTTCCTTTTTATTAATAGCCTATTTTATCAAATAATTTCTTTATTTAAAATTTTATTTTTTAATTCATTTTCAAATTATTTTTCTAATGTATTAATTCGCATAAATATAAAGTGTATACATATCAGCCATCGAAAAACCAATAGCTAGTCTAAAGCAATAGTTTTATCTAATAGTTCTCATTGTTGGTGTGAATGCTAGTCCCACATCGTGTTTTTTCCCCCTCTTAAACATTATTAAACAATTACTCAGTGGACAGAACACATTTTCAAGTTTTGCCCTCAGCCCTGTTACTAAGTATTCTTTTCTGTTTATATTGATGCCCATATGTCAGCATGGTTCCCTCAATCCCTCAGCGGTTAATCAGTGCATTTGTCTTCTCTGGCAGGCTGTCACTGGGGAAATGAGGAGCGTCATCCATGAAGAACATATGCATTCCATATGTAAGCAGTGTTCGCCGAGCCACTATATTTTTGTCCTCATCCTAAACGTGACTGTGAGCAGAGCCTCTCTCACGGGTACAGTTCAGCTCGGGCTCAGATTACACACTGGTCTGGCGACCTTACAGATTCACACATACATATCCATTTATACACCGTTGTCTGTCATTGAGCAGGACATTTTTGGATTATTTTCAGCTCAAGAATTGGATATTTTGGAATCAGGTGGCTTTGTATACTAATTGTGATTACAAAAATATACATTGCAAACAATTAATTGTCAATTATTCATTTATCCCATTTATTATTATTATACCCATTTACCATCTATATTTTCTGCTGTTGGATTCCACTTAAAAAGTGTTGACTGATACCAAAAGGACTTGCAGCAATTTTGATTAAATAATGTTTTCAGGACTATTTGTGGGGATATTTATTTCTTTTGGAAAAATTGACTTTTATTGATTATTATTATTACAAAAAAATATTATATATTAATTCGAATTTCCAGAATTTATTAGTATTTGGTATCTTCCAAAAACAGTGCAGTTAATAAATAAATATATATATATATATATATATATATTTATAAAAAAAATTATACACTGCACCCAAATATATTATGTAACTTTTATTTTGGATGCGATTAATCACGATTATTCATTTGACAGCCCTAATATATATATATATTGTAAATTTAATATATTGCGTGCAAATTTTCATGCTATATGCATTTGGCTAATAAATGTACAAGTTTGGCACAGATATATTTACTCACCTTCACTCATCCTGTCCTGTACTCTGTCAAGCGATCCTTAAAGCACTCTATTTCTATGCACAGTGCATTTGATACATCATAAACTGAAGTGTTAAGGTGCATCGCGTAGTGTTTCTCTCGCACACACAAAGACTTGCACCCTTCATAAAATTGATGCCCCGCATGTAAATTATATTCTTTATTGTATTTTCCTGTCAAAATAACAGGAAATTCATTTGGAATTCTTCAGCCTACACTGTCGGTATTTTTATAGTATTCAGTTCCTGCGAGTATACATGAATATTCATGATATTCGCCCTATTGTGGGCATGTCCTTGACAACGCAGAATGCAATACTGAAAATATTAACTCAATCTCCTCGAATCGTAAGTTTTAATGGATTATTTCGAAGTTTTAAATGTTGAACATCAACTCCAACCGTCCACATTTTCAAAACAATGCATAGTTTATGTAATATGATAAATCGTCTGAGCTGTTTAGACTGATTGATTACAGGCGTTCAGATCAAGGACACAGCAGAGTAATCAATAAGCGAGTAACCTATGCTAGTCAGGGCTAACACAGTTACTCTTTGATGTGTTGAGATTTTTTTTATTTATTTGTGAGGCTTTACATTTGGTTTGAATAGTTGATTAGTTGTCATTCGGTGACTGCAGTGTTGACGACAATGCCTGAAATAAACCTCTACAAATGTATCATGCCCTAATAAAATTTATATAAGCTAGCCTGGTGCAAGTATTCTGTCATCCTTAATTTCTTGTTTATTTTGTTTTTAGCCAGTGCTTCCCAGACTTGGCGGCCCAATCAATAAGGCTCATGTAATCAACACCAAACTATGTTTTCCTGTTTACTCATATTATACTGGATATCATGTACAATTAAAGTCTCACAAGTAAATGCAATCAACGATATGCCTATTGAGGAAAGTGTTTTCTTAACCTTGTAGATGTCTCAAGCACCACCACCAGTCCGCGGCTCTTAAAATAACAAATATGCATTCATACCTTTTCATTCATACATGGTTGCCACATTTTAGATCTAATTACTTGTGTTCTGTCATTAGAGGAGTAGTTCACTTTTAAAAAAAACTATTGCTGATAATTTACTCACCCCCATGTCATCCAAGATGTCCATGTCTTTCTTTCTTCAGTCAAAAAGAAATTCAGGTTTTTGATGAAAATATTCCAGGATTTTCTCCATATAATGGACTTCAATGGGAACCAAACGGTTCAAGGTCCAAATGAGAGTTTCAGAGCAGCTTCAAAGGGCTTTAAACGACACCACACGATGAATAAGGGTCTTATCTAAGGACTGTCATGACTCGAAAAAAGATTTGTTCATTTTGATGAACGAGTTTGAACAGGAGAGTCACGAACGCTCATCACAGAACAGAGCAAGGCGAGCATTTGTGCTTATAAAACTTAAACCTTTTTATTTATTTTTTAAATGACCGATCGTTTCGCTTGATAAGACCCTTATTAATCGTCTGGTGTAGTTTACAGCCATTTGAAGCTGCACTGAACCTCTCATTTGGACCATGAACCGTTTGGTTCCCATTGAAGTCCATTATATGGAGAAAATCCTGGATTGTGTTCATCAAAAACCTTAATGTCTTTTCGACTGAAGAAAGAAAGACGTGGTCATCTTAGATGACATGAGGGTGAGTAAATTATCAGCAAAAGTTTTTTTAAAAGTGAACTACTCCTTTAAAAAAATGCTTGGTTGACTGATGTTAAATGTACTTTCAGTTATTTTCCAGTTTTAAATGATTAAAAATAAGTCTCTGACATGTTTCCCACTGTAATAAGTCTTGGACTTTTTGAGGTTCTAACACTGAGTAATGTTAAATAAGAAAACCAAAGTAGGATTATGAGTAAAAAACTGATTTCAGTAAAGCGGATGTTTAGTCAGTGGGTGGCGCCAAATACAAAGCCAGTAGTTCCTCATCCTTTACATGGAATTCTGGATCCATGGAGATAAAGATGATTCGTAACGTAGAGAGAGAGAGAGAGTATTAATATCTCCTCAGATACGCTCGGGAGCACGTTTCAACGCGAGCCTCAGCAATAGTGTCTCTTGTGACTGTTCAAATCTCTCTGGATTAAAGTGAGCGCTCTTCAGGAGGGGTCTGAAGGGGCTTAATGCATTATCCCACTCTATTGATGTGGAGGAGGAGAGCATGGAAAGGGTGGAGCCGGTGAAGTGCTGCATAAGGCCAAACCCCCCATTCCCCCTCAGCCTATAGAAGTCAGTGGTGTTTTTTGAATGCAGAAAGCCTCGAGTGAGTGAGTGGCTGCATTTGTCTTATAGCTTCCCTGTGGCATCTGTGTTATTGTAACATCTTCCACAAGAGGTATCTGGTGCTGCTGCTTTTTTGACCTCATTTTTGCGCGTGTAATCCCAAAACTGGTTCCGGTTTGATCTTCTGAACGTGCTGCGGCGAACGCTCTGGTATGCAAATGCGAGTTGAGGAGATGTCGGTCACGTGATCAACCCTCCATTTCCTCAATCCCGTCTCTTGCACCTCCCCTCCCGGGCCTATGCATAAACAACAGCAGATTACCACTCAGCTGGTCCGTCTCCATGGAAACGCTGACCTCATGCTGGGACGAGAGATCTGGGCCAGTCACCATGGCGGTTTGCCAGGATACTAGACTTGATCTCTCTTACCTATTGCAAGGTGCACCTAATAGCGGCTTTGCTGCTATTTTTAGAGGTCAACAGCACAACGTTCTCCGATCATGCTGGTTTTTTTCTCTCACCCCATTATGCACTGCAGATAATGATTTGCTACGCTGCAGCTCAAGAACCGTTGTTAGCTCCTGCTAACTGTGCACTCATGCTAGATGTGTGACCTACATCCCACTTCAAAGTCGTGATGCTCTGCAGTTTGTCTGCGGTGTCCTTGCCTCACAATCTGCTCTACAGAAATGCACACTGAAGTATTTGCTTAGTCATTTGTGCTGTATTAACATTTCACATCTTCAACGTACTAATAGAAGGGCCAACACTATCGTCATGAACCTTATATAAACTTAATTATGTTTGAACTGAAATGAGACATTTAGTGCTTTTAGTCTTCCTCGTAGATACAATTAGCTTGTTTTAATGAGAAAATTACGATTCTGGCCTTATTGGGAGGACCACTATAATGGTACCTTGTTAAAAGAACAAAAAATGCATTGTATTGTATTGTACAGGATGCCTATTTTTTAATGTAAGACCAACTAGCATTGGTGATTTTCATCAACTAACGATTGAATGAGAGTTGGGTAATGCTTGGTGAAGCTACAGGTCCCTCGTTTCCAGGTTGAATTCGCTCCCTTGGAGATGAATTGATGAATTGGTGCCATCCAGTCAGAGAAGGCCTCCACATTAATTTACTGAGTGGATTTAATTAACCTGTTTCTTTTTTATGGCACCCTCATTATGGTGTCAAAGGGGATTTGGAAAGCTTGCCCTAGTTTGGTTAATATTGCTCCTTTTTTGTCGTCCTTTTTTCTTCGATTAAGTCACACTCGAGGCAAACTTGTACAGAGATCCGGCCTGGCTTTGGTGTAGAGTCCCCCCTCTTTAAAAGTGTGCTATAATTGCACATCCATAGACTCTCTGAAACGCTAGTTAAGAAAAGGGTGCCTGTTTTTTTCTCCATCTCTCATTTTTTTGCTTCCTGCTACCTGAGGAAACACTCGTGTCTTTGTTTCTTGCTAGAAGAGCAGGAATGCTAAGTGGAATATTGGAAATGTGTTAACCTTAGTCTCTGGTTCACACGTAGGTACGACATTTGAATCGTGTCTCTTTGTGTGAGGAGCGATGATTCTCACACATCATGAATAGAGGTGTTATGCTACAGGGGTATAGTTAGGCTGTATAGTTCATGTGAGTTTTTAGGAAAGGAAAAGCACAATTGGTGCTAGACTTCAGCCTATTGGGTCATTTTATTGGATTTTTTATATATTTTTTTACCCATGTGCTGGCTAGTTTTCCTGTAACTTAACTGCTGGGTAATTTTTACTGTCGAACCCCCTCACACACCTACCTAGAGCTGGGTTAAAGCAAAACCGGTTCAAACTGGACACATTTGTCAACGGTCATTTTGTGTCATTTTGTTCGGAGAGAAAACTTCCTGAATGAAATGAACGTTTACCTATCAAATCATTACAGCTCAAATAGGAAAACTGTCCGTAGTATCACATTTTACCTTTTTGTTTACATTTACATTTATGCATTTGGCAGACGCCAAAGCAACTTACATTGCATTTCAAGGTACACATTTAGTTTCTTATAAGTTCTTGCTTTCTCTGGGAATTGAACGGTTGACCTTGGCGTTGTAAGCGCCGACTCTCTACTGTTTGAGCTACAGGAAAGCTTGCGTTTACATCTTTACACCCATATAGCAAAAGTCTATTTGATGTGATGTTTACATCTGAGTTTTTGCTCATCTGCGATACATCTATAGGATGTTTTCTGTCAGATGTCAAATAGACGTTTTGAAGATGTCAGTTTAACATGCATTCTAAATCATTACATCTTAAAGACATCTTCTAAACGTCTATTTGACATCTGACAGGAAACGTCTTATAGACGTATTGCAGATGAGCAAAAACTCTTAAAAATACGTCTTCCAGATGTAAACATCACATCAAATAGACTTGTGCAATCTGGGCATGTACGCCGCAGCTCAGATAGCTCAAAAACGTCTGCAAGATGTCTGTTAAAGATCACTTCATCTGGAAAGCATCTGCTGTTTACTAACATCTGATAAACGTTTTTAAGATGTCAGTTATATATACTTTCTAAATCATAAACATCTCAAGGACATTTTCTAAACGTCTATTCGACAAGAAACGTCCTATACGCGTATTGCAGATGAGCAAAAACCCGTCTTCCAGATGTAAACGCGCGCATCAAATAGACGTCTCTGGGATGTACGTGTGCTATCAGGGAGCTTACGTCTGCTTGGAAAGCTAGCCTTCTACAAACAAAGCTACTGTACGGATATACACTCAAAGCTACCGACGCCAAACCAGGGCTGAAACACGAGGCGTCATTGCTGTCGTGCAATAGAAGCGCTATTAATCTAGTGTGCTAGCGTCGTGCTACGTTTTGACAGGTTGAAACATTTAATGACCTGGAACAGCCTTTACTGGTTTTCTTTCCACATTTTCCTGTCGGCTGTTCTTGCTGCTCCTGTCACGTCCTAAAATGTTTACTTAATGTTTTTGATTCTATAGCTAATGATTGTAGAAGACTTGCCATTGAATAAAAAATATTGTGTATCAAATTGTCTGTTCCTGTACATGTGCCATTTCAGAGATTTTAGAATATATTTTTATTATTTAAAAGGAAATATTGAATATCAAGTTGACTGACCCAGCACCATGTCAAAATAAAAACTAGCAAATGTGTTAATGTATAACATGCTAGGTCAAAATAACCTAGCATGTGTTCTGTCCAGTATTTACCCATTGCTAGGTTGCCATTTAACCCAGAAATGTTTTTAATCCAGCATTTTCAGAATGTAATTTTTGACTGAATAACTTCTGATTTATATGACTTTTTTTTCAGTAAGTTTACTCATGAATGATGATTAACCGCATATAAAAAAGGAAAAAGGGTACTTTCTAAGCATCTGGTTTCAAAATAACCCCTATAATCCATGGTCCATTGCACAAAAGGTTTAGACTATTAAAACGTTCTTCACAAAGCACTATTCAGCAAAAG